CCACTGCGTTCTTGAAGGGAGTACAGCTGCAAGACATTTGCAGAGCCGCAACCTGGGCCACGCCTAATACCTTCATCAGGCACTACGCCTTGGACGTCCGCCAGTCCACCAGTGACAGTCTGGGACGTCAGGTTTTATCATCGGCTAAGCAGTAAACACCTGACAGCACCCACCTCCAGGTTGGCTACTGCTCGCTAATCTCCCATTGGTGTGAAGCACAGAGACCACGAAGAAGATAAACAGGTTGCTTACCAGTAACTGGTGATCTTCGAGTGGTCATCTGTGCATTCACACCACCCGCCCTCCTGCCCCGCTGCTGTCTTCTTCTACTTGTTTTGTTAGGAGATTGATGCGCGGCGGTTGGTAGGAACTGGCGGGATGTCCGTGCCTGCCCTTCTGGGCATGCTCACTGGGGCTCCTGAGCATGCTCAGTTGGGCCAGGCACGAAAATCCTTTTAAGAGAGCTTGCTAGGCACCGGCAGATCCAGCGCAGGCGCACTAGATCCCATTGGTGTGAATGCACAGATGACCACTCGAAGATCACCAGTTACTGGTAAGCAACCTGTTTTTCTGGAGCCACCCTTCCTGAGCTAAGACAAAAATGTGTGAGCTAGAGGCTAAAAAACTGTGGGCTAGCTCACACTAACTCAGCTTAGAGGGAACACTGCCCTGGACTTAAGCTTTTGTATTGAGCCTTTGAGCGAAGGTTTTGCTTCAGGACTGGAGGTTCAGCCTCTACGATGGTCTGGCCACTGGCCACTCAAGGCAAGGGTGAGTGTATCTCCAACACTCTGCAGGGGAGGGAAGCCAAGTAAAATGATCCGTCTGCAGAGGCTTATGGTTCCTATTGCAGAGAGCAGTGGCAGACTGATTCTGGGTCTTTTTGGATAACTCATATGCTCTGGATCTTTTTCAGTTGGATTTCAGTCCAGGCTATAGGATGGAGAGCACTGGTAGCCTTAGATAATTATCTATGTCTGAATGTGGACAAAGGTCACATGCCTCTTTGTTGCTCCTTGAAACTGGCTTAAATAATTCTTTATGAGCTGGTCTCAGAGAGTTACTATTGAGGATCAGTTGTCATCAGTGTGGGACTTGTCCTGTGGGGTTCCACAGGGTGCAGCCTTATCCCCCTTTCTATTCAACCTCTGTGAAAACCCCTTAGAAGAGAGATTCCGGTGGGTAGCTATGCTGGTCTGAAGCTGCAGAACAAAGTTTGAGTCCAGTGTCACCTTTAAGACCAACATTGTTTTATTCAAGGTTTAAACTTTCGTGTGCACGCACACTTCTTCAGATACATTGAAATGGAAGTTACCAGTCCATACATATAGGTAGAGGGTGAGCAGCAAATTAGCATACAGCATAATAAAGGTGTTTAATAGATGCAAGGACCAAACTGGAATAACAAGCTTAGTTTATATGGTCACCATTTGTTTGGGTTTAATTCTGGGGGGGGGGACATAGTGAAGGAAATGGATATATCAGAATTGGAGCTTGATAGGCAGATGTACCCTTTTTACTCGTGGAATGCTGAGAGTAATTAACTGAGACCCTGCTATCAGCAACAGTGCAGCATTGTCTTCTTTGAGGTGGTGTGATTAGCTGTGCAGTGTGTCTCCTCTGTCCCCAGACCAGAGAAATACATTCCAATCTATCCACCTTCTACTATTAATCACATTACAATCTACGATTCCAGTCCACTATTCTAAATAAGAAATAAAGTAAAGAGGATGTATAGCCCTTCTGCGGGATTGGTGAGAATACAGATGTAAGGACTGAATGCTATTAGCATATGCAGTGAGATAAGAAACTAATATGCCTGTTAAGTCCTGGGGGGGTCTATTGTTCTGAGTGTTGCAATAATTTATAGCGCAGCAATTTCTCTTTCTAGTCTGTTCCTGTTCACATTCTACTGCAGAGATTCTCTGGGAGAATCTATTGGGCTTGTTGTATGCCTGCCTTGCTTTTTCCCCATCATTGGAAACAATGGAAGATGGGGACACTCTCTTTGGGTGCCCATAGAATTGGACCCCCCTTTTTTTTAAAAAAAAAAAACAACTTAGGGGTTCTTCTGGGGAGAGACTCCAGCAGCTACACTGCAAATTTGGTGCCTCTACCTCACACCCCCTCTCCCAGCCCACTGAATATACCCTAGGAGATTTGCCATTGACTATAATGGCCCCATAAGGGTATAATGGAGCCAAAAAAATTGGGATTCCAGAATTAATTTGGGATTCTCTTATCGGTAAGCCAGATCAGATCAGAGAATCTGATTCAGCTTACCTAATGCCTGAATCATGCCAAAAAGGCATGACTTGGGTATTAATTCAGCTCAGAAATACCGAATGCGCATCCCTACTATATATACTGTTAAAAACAATAATAGTGATGGTGAGGATGATGATTTTAAAATACTGTATGTTTGTGCAATGTTTATTCCATCTTTTTTCCTCCTTGGTGTTAAAGAATTCTTGAAATTTTTGTATTGGTATAGAATCAGACTCTGGTCAGAAATAGCAAAAACAGCACGGAAACAAAGTGTATGGGATGTGTGTCGAGCTGCATGTAGATTCTGTCTCTTATATGATGAAAGCCAAATGAAAAAGGAGTCAAAGCGCAAAAAAGGTAATCACGTTATTTATTAGTTATAATATTATTTTAGGTGATATAAAAGCAAATTGTGATAATTCTTTGTTCCTTAATGAACAGGGATAAGGCTGCATATAATATTTTGCTAAATAAATAAATAAAGAGGGGGAAATTACAGTCATCTGCCACCATCCCCATGGAGTTCATAGGAGCTTGATGGAGCACCATTTCTGTAATCAAATTAGCAGACCCCTGTTTCTTGGCAGTCTACACTTTTGTTTCTACCCCCTCTCCAGCTCTGTTCTGGACTCTTCCTGAAGCCAAAGGCGCTGTCCTCAGACCCTGCTCATATGCAAGATTTTTTACTTAAAGAACTGACCATTATATTTTGAACTTGTAGTTTGTTTTACATGGGTGCTAGATGTAATGTAATGATAGTGTAAGCTGCTCCTTAAAAAATAGCAACAAGAAGAAGAATTCAAATGAGAACTTTGGGTTGCAGTATTATATAAAAATATTTCATTCTTGAAATATTTCATTGTTGAGGCTAACACTTCATTATTCCAAAAATGCATATATACATTGTTAATATTACCATTTAATTTTCTTAATATATTACCATTTAATTTTCTCTTAGTAGTCAAGAAGAAAAGTGTGACAGAGGATGAGCCAGAAGAGAACATACACGCAGAATCACTCTTGCCCACTAAAGTATTCTCTTTGGAAAGAGATTTACTCAGAACATTAGCAGAAATAAGATTCATTAATGCAGAGGTTGGTACTTTAAATTGTTTAATCTTTGTTAGTGTGTAACACTCATAAGGGCATACAGATTAAGAAAATTCATGAAATTGTAAGCAATTTCTTTTGAAATACTTTGTGGTACTGATATAAACATTTTCTTTCTTTTTTATGTATACATTTGTATTGAGTTTGAAAACATACAGGGATACAAAGAGGGAAGAGGAAGAGGGAAGAGAGCAAAATTAATAAGTCTTCTGCATGCAAATCGTCTCTACTTATCATTTCCCATTACAATAAAACAGACTGTGAGATTAGAAAAGTTTATAAAGGAGTGTTCATATTATAGTATTAAAAAATACATTTCTTTGTATTTCTTTCTTGTCCAATCATAAAAAGGAATCCATAGTCTATCGAAATCTTCTTTCCTTTACCTGTTTAGCATCCAATTTTCCATGGTCTTCACTATTAAATCTTGTTCAACAGGTATTGTTGGAGGCTTCCAAAAAGTTACAAATAAGATTCTAGCTGCTATTATTACCTAAGTTGTAAAATATCTTCGGTTTTTGTCAAAATTGTTTAGTATAGAATTTTTTAAAAAGCACAATTCTGATCTTAAAGGTAATAAAATCTACAAAACTGTCTCTAATATACAACCAGAAACTATTTGGCTTGTCTTTATACATTTTATCTAATCTATCTACTGTTAAATACCGTCTATAAAACATCTTATACAGATTCTCTTCCAAAAACAACCAATTTAGTCATTTTCACATTCACTCTCCTCAGTTTACTCCACTGTGCAAGAACAATATTACACTCTAAATTTTACATTTTCTTGGGATTTAAAATTTCTGGCTGTTCAGGCTGTTTCTTAGGATTTACAATTTCAGGCCACATACTAGTTTACCTCAAATGGTTACATATACCATGAAAAAAAATGAACTATTTGACACAAAAGTCATTAGCTTGTGCTCAAAGCTGAACTTAATTAATTAACCAGATATAAGCAGTTATACCCTTCTAAGTCCATTGATGTTGATGTCTTTAGAATGGTGCGACTCTGTTTAGGATTGCATTATTGCTGATCAAAGTAACCATTCAGTTCAGGTGGAAAACTATTAAATAGGTACAGGAAGAAAAAAATAGCACTTTATTATTATAATTGATATTGTTAAGGTAAAAGAAGCACATCTTTGAAAGGAATATTTGAAATATATAGGGGCAGAAACTCTGGTCAGAGATAGTCAAATATTAGAAATTATACAAAAATAGCACCAAAAATTATCCTATGCTTGAACAGCCTGAAATTTTAAATCCTAAGAAAATGTTTATATCAGTACTACAAAGTATCTCAAAATAAATTGCCTACAATTTCATGATTTTTAATCTGTATATTTTCTTCTTAATCATGAATAAAATAATGTTTGTGACACTGAACTTGATGATTTTAAACCTGATAAAAAAGAAGAAAAACACACTTGCTTTCAAGAACAGAACACACAAGAAAGTCAGACTGAAGTTAGTAGTTAAAGTAAAACCTGTAGAAGACCAACATAAATCAATTTTGAATATAGAATGTTTAGCTGAATTAGATATTTTGAGAAATCAACTGATTTTAATAACATATATAATCCATCCGACTTTATTGCTATAAGCAAAGACCATTGCAAGACAGGTTAAATTATTGGAAAAATCCAAGAACTTCATATAGAAACAAATACATGGATTAATAAAATCCAGAAATCATATGCATAATATATATATGATCCAATAGATATTGTTTACCTTGACTTCCAGAAAGCTTTTGATAAAGTTCCTCATCAAAGGCTCCTAAGTAAGCTCAAAAATCATGGGATAAAAGGACAAGTCCTTTTATGGATCAAAAACTGGTGAATTAATAGAAAACAGAGAGTGAGTATAAATGGGCAATTTTCTCAGTGGAGGGTGGTAAGCAGTGGGGTACCGCAGGGATCAGTACTTGGTCCACTGCTTTTTAACTTGTTCATTAATGATTTGGAGTTGGGAGTAAGCAGTGAAGTGGCTAAATTTGCGGATGATATGAAGTTGTTCAGGGTGGTGAAAACCAGTGAGGATTGTGAGGCACTCCAAAGGGATCTGTCAAGGATGGGCAAGTGGGCGTCAACATGGCAAATGGGGTTCAATGTGGCCAAGTGCAGGGTGATGCACATTGGAGCCAAAAATCCTAAATATGAATACACATTGATGGGGTCTGAACTGGCAGAGACTGATTAAGAGAGAGATCTTGGAGTTGTAGTAGATAACTCACTGAAAATGTCGACAGTGTGTGACTGCAATAAAAAAGGCCAATGCTATGCTGGGGATTATTAGGAAGGGTATTGAAAACAGATCAGCCAATATCATAATTTTTTGTTGTTGTTCAGTCGCATAGTCGAGTCCGACTCTTCGCGACCCCATGGACCAGATCCCACCAGGCCTTCCTGTCTTCCGCCGTCCTCTGAAGTTGGCTCAATTTCATGTTCGTTGCGTCAATGACACTGTCCAACCATCTCATCCTTTGCCATCCCCGTCTTCTTTGACCTTCAATCTTTCCCAGCATCAGGGTCTTCTCCAGTGAGTGCTCCCTTCTCATTTGGTGGCCAAAGTATTTGAGCTTCAGTTTCATTATCTGGCCTTCCAGGAAACAGTCAGAGTTGATTTCTTTTAGGATTGACTGATTTGATCTTCTTGCAGTCCAAGGGACTCTCAAGAGTCTCCTCCAGCACCATAGTTCAAAAGAATCTATTCTTCAGCACTCGGCCTT